GATGGAGACCCTACAATGTTTCTCATTAGAACATTCCATGTGCACCAGCTGATTAAAATTATTGGTCACTCCCATTCAGAAACGCTATCCAAAAAACTTGGTGGAACATACAGCTCTTCTTCTGAGCAGAAACAGGTAGGAATCTGTAATAATATTTGTTAAAATCCTTGCAATGGTTATTGATCGCCCAAGAAAGAATTGTTTTGTTTCAACAAAAGTGGAGTGACTCTTTGGCTGGCCATACATCATTGATCATTTTCTCTTTGTTTAACCAGTAGGATGAACAAAAAAAAAGAAAAAGACCTGATTCCCCTTCCACACATTGAATGTGGATGGGGGAATCAGTCCAGCTGTAGCCAGCAGCACTGATCAATGAATTCTGACAGTGGGGAAGGCCCCCCATTGTCAGAACACAACGGCACAGTGGGACTGATTCCCTCATCCACTTTGAATGTGTGTAAGGGGAATCAGGTCTTTTTTTTTCGTTCATCCCACTAGAGAAGTCGGTTGGTTGCAGGTTGGTTGGTAAATTGAGCTGGGAATATTTCTCTGTTGTTGTTTGCAGCAAGGAGCACATGGAAGGGCGACGTATGTCAAAGGCCAGTTATAGATTGGGGCAGTGTCCATTTGTTTGTACTGTTGGTATATTGTTAAGGGGATGCACTGGACAACTTGGCTGCCATTGTGCTATATGCTGGGTGTCCTGTGCCTTTAGGGAGGAGTGGGCTCCCTCCAGGCTTACTTGCCCTTAGTTGATCCGTTATTATACATGTGTTTCTACTACGGAGGCTTTCAAAATTTATAGAGTTAAGAACTGCAGAATACTGGGGTGCCATGAAGAGGCTCTACAGCTTGTGCATGTATTTGCAAATGTGTGCAAACTAAACCCCTGTTTTTAATGTGAACTGTTAGGCAGGACAATCTGGTTGGTTGCAGGCTGGTTAGTAAGCTGAGCTGGGAATTTTTCTCTGCAGTTGTTTGACATGCATCGCCCTTCCATGTGCTCCTTGCTGCAAATTCCAGTTATAGATTGGGGCAGTTGCCGTGTGTTTTGTTCTAGAGAAGTTGATTGGTAGGTTGATTCTCTACAACCAGCCTGCCCATACATGGATCAAAATATGGCCGGTCCCTGCTCAACTGGTCGAATTGCAAACCATGTATGGCCGGCTTGTAGCATGCTTTGCAGTAAAACGCACATTTTTACCACATTTCATCATAATTCACCAGTCTAAAGAAACTTATATTATTGGTGTCCTGAGAGTTGCCATAATCCTCAAAACTGGGATAATCAAAATCTGTTTTTTATGAGGTTATTCTTGTGCCTTACCAAGGCTGGGATGTAACCTGTTCAGTTATTCAGTGAACACAATGCAGAGGCCGCTGCCAACAAATAAGTTAATTATAAGCATCAAAATCTGCTGAGAGACTTTGAACTGATCATGTGCTTTCCAGAAAACATTGTGCAATAGTACTGAATGGACAGAGAGGTTTCCATGAATTAAACTATAAATTTCTTTGATGTGTAGGAACCTGAGCCATCAGAAACTACTCAACCACAGGGACATATTAGTGTTAGAATAGACAGGATTGTGCATTCTTCACTGTTCATTATAAAGATCACAGCATAGTAGGATGTCTCAAAAATGTGAATGCACTTAAAGTGAACCTACTGTCTATGTCAGTGTTTCTCAACCTTTTTTTAGGCAAGAAACCCTCTAAATTTTTTGGACAGTCCAGAGGCACCCTGTAAAATGATGGACATTCTTGAGGCACCCCATTCTAAAATGTAAAAAAGCTATTCTAATAGTTTTATGTAACGTAGCAACATCCACACATGTAGGACACCCAACATTAGAGGTGATTTATTCTTCCAAAGCAAATACACTTTTGCACTCTGGTACTGACTAGTGTTCCAATGTTTCTCTTCTCCCTCAGTTTTTCTCCATCACTCAGCTAATGTGACCCCAGCACTGATGGAGAGGGGCAAGGGAGGGTGATGAAACTAGGATGCTGTGCAGGCAACAGACATCCTCCTTATCAACTGATGATGTAATTTGTTGTAAGACCCCAGCGCTAGAAGGTTGTTATGGTGCACAATGAAAACCTGTGGTTTTCTGTAACTAAAAGGCAGGCTTTTTCCACCCGCTGGCTTGTATACAAGTTTTGGCCAATTTTTAGACATTTTGCCAAGGCGCTCCTGAAGAAACCTCAAGGCACTCTGGTTGAAAAAGGCTGGTCCATGCTCCTGGCACCATTTATTAGAATTACATTTATTTTGGTACATTGCACATTACCACAGGTGCAAGCATCCAATGTGAGCCTTTAAAGCCCAACACAAGGAAGGTTAGTCTGGGTGGGTAATTCACTAAAACTGGAGCACTCAGAATCTGGTGCAGCAGTGCACGGTAGCCAATCAGCTTCTAAGTTCAGCTTTTTTAATTAACCTTTGACAATAAAACCAGGAAGCTGATTGGTTCCTATGCAGAGGTGAACCAGATTTTTTGCACCATGCAGTTTCAGGTTTTAGTTTCATCTATGCCCCTTTTCAGGTGATTTTCCCTTTTAAAATTTGTACGGAAATTTGCACGGAAATTCTGGGTAGATTTGACGACTTCACAATTGTTGTCTGAAACAAGTTCAAAATTAAATTTACATTTAACATCTGATTTTGGAATGAAAGGACTTTACCATATAAAAAACATATACATTGTTAGAATACTTATTATCTTTTTAGCTCATGCTGGACACTTATCAATTTATTTTTCTGCTTAGGACTTGTGCTTTAAAGATTAACTAAAGGCAAAACTTTTCTCTTTAGTTTTGGATAGAGTGGAGAGGGATTAGAACACCTGTTGGGTTTTTATTGCAGTTTGTGCCCCCCTCCCTAAGTAAAGTCACCCTCTCTATTGGTCCTGTTTAACGTTATCACCGAGAGTGAAAGGAAAAGAAAATCCCAAATTTTGGGTTGACATCAGAACTGTAATAGAGGGCAAATCTTCCAGTGGGTACACTAGTTCTGGTGAATTCCCAACTTTTCGTCACTTTGGAGGGATTTCCTCACACTTCCTGTTTTGGCAATGAGACAGGAAGTAAAGGGGAATCTCCTTAATGGGACACAGATGGCAAAAAAAAAACCTGACAGGGATTCTAACCCTTATTTACTGTAATCAAAAATGAAATAAAAAAAGCTTTGTCTTCAGTTCTACTTTAACTAACGAAAGTGGTTATTTTAGAAAGACACACAGCTCTCCTCCAGAAGTTATTAGCAGGCCCTGTCAGTGTGAATCAGTGTACAGAGAACTTTCTTTTTGAAAGTCCCCTTTCAGTAATATCCCGTGGGTCAGATGAGATGCCGCCACTTATCCTGAGCCAACACAAACACTGACCGGGGCACTGCGGCTGTTCATCAGCAAGGCTTGTGTGTTTGTTTTCATGTGGGCATATAGGTGTGCTCTGTTCTTCAAACCAGATAGTGGGCTGAAGATCAGAATAATAGGCAAACGTGTAAGAAATCTCCACGTTATATAACCAAGAGCAAAGAAGAGACATCATTTTTGACATGTAAAAAACTTACAAGACATGAATTATTTTTATTGGGGCATATATGTGTCCTTCAACAAAGAAAGACGGTTGAAGATCAGAATAATAGGCAAGTATGTAAGAGATCTAAGCGTGTGATATAGCCAAACACAAAGAGGAAACCACATCCTTAATATATACATAGAAAACTTTACAAGACATTAGAGTTGGGGTAATTATGTGGGTTCTGTTCTTCAACCCACAACAGAATAGCCTTGGACGTATAAGCTCCCAACATGTGATTTAACCAAGAGCAAAGAAGAGTCATCATTCTTGATAAAAAATGCTACAAATATCAAACTATCACCCCCAACCCCCTTTGTATTTGTCTTATGTGTCTCCTAAAGTTTTCCATTTCAGAAAAGGGAAAAAAAAAAAAACCCCTCTCATTGTGGTCATGTGAGGCTTAAAGACCGACTCCAGACAGTTTAGGATTAAAATCCTAGCGTCAAGGTACTGTACATGCCTTTACCATGTGAAAATGCCAACCTTCTCTTCTTAGGCCCCTTTCACGTAATTGGTCCGGCCAGGTCCACCTGTTGGCTTTTCAGGTGGACCTGGTCCAAAGCTCCATAAACTGTAGGTGTAATGGTATCCATAAGAAAATGGACCTGTGTCTGTTTACATCCACGTGCATCCAAGGCTGCCCAGATACGAAAGAAAAAATGCCAAAGCTCTGGGTCCTTTTCTGATTTTTTTTTCGTACCGAAACATGATGGATCAAAAAGTAGTCTGATGTAAACCACAAGTCCATTCCATCCGAACACCCATAGATCTAATATGGGTCCAAAAAGTTCTAGTTTTTAAAAAGAGCTAAACGCTGGACACAGATGTCACAGAAAGGATATCAGTCCTGTTCTTTCTGATTCATCGGGGGATCTGTTCATTGACCGGACAGTGCCTGTGTGTAGGGGCCTTAATCTCCCTTTTTTCTTGCAACTTTGGACCCGCAAACTGTCCCCCTATTCCTCCTCTGTTGCATCTCTTCCTATTTATGTGACCAGGCGGGCGTCCCAATGTTTCTACATAAAGTCTTCTACCATTGCCTTACGGGAAATGTAGTGCTGTTTCCCAGGGTGGATGAGGGTTAGACTGCTCTAATCCGGGGAGACCAGATGATGAATGCAAACCAGGTATATTGAATGCAGGGTCCAGGGAGTATTAAAATAATGGCATTTGGGAGACCATGTTATGTGACTGTGGGAGACCAGATATAGTGAATGCAGGGTCCTGGGAGACCAGATATAGTGAATGCAGGGTCCAGGGAGACCAGATATAGTGAATGCAGGGTCCTGGAATGCAGACCAGATATATAGTGACTGCAGGGTCCAGGGAGACCAGATATAGTGACTGCAGGGTCCGGGGAGACCAGATATAGTGACTGCAGGGTCCGGGACCAGATATAGTGAATGCAGGGTCCTGAGAGACCAGATATAGTGAATGCAGGGTCTGGGGAGACCAGATATAGTGAATGCAGGATCCGGGAGACCAGATATAGTGAATGCAGGGTCCGGGGAGACCAGATATAGTGAATGCAGGGTCCGGGGAGACCAGATATAGTGAATGCAGGGTCCGGGGAGACCAGATATAGTGAATGCAGGGTCCGGGGAGACCAGATATAGTGAATGCAGGGTCCGGGAGACCGATATAGTGAATGCCGGGCCCGGGGAGACCAGATATAGTGAATGCAGGGTCCGGGGAGACCGGATATAGTGAATGCAGGGTCCGGGGAGACCAGATATAGTGAATGCAGGGTCCGGGGAGACCAGATATAGTGAATGCAGGGTCCGGGGAGACCAGATATAGTGAATGCAGGGTCCTGGGAGACCAGATATAGTGAATGCAGGGTCTGGGGTTTAGTAAGGCTTTAAGCTTTTTGAGCTATTTTTTCATTGGTTGAAATGTGCTCCTCATTGTGGAACTAAACCCATCAATTTAAAGGGTATCTACTTTATGGTCAAAATGTAAATTAAATATTAATTTCCACATTGTATTTCAATTATTTCTAGTCTACTCCTATTATAGTGGTAGTGGCTTTCTGTTATGTGAGAAGCCAAACCTAAATAAAGAACTTAAAAAAAAAAAAAGGTTGATGTCCTAACTGGTCACACGTGCAGAACCATGAGAAAAGCAGATCAAAAAGAAGCTAAGATGGCAGCTACCTGGGCTGTGAAGGATAGGAGGGTTTAGTTCCACTTTAACCACTTGAGCTCCGGAAGCTTTTACCCCCTTCACGACCAGGCCATATTTGCTATTCAGCACTGCGCTACTTTAACTGCTAATTGCGTGGTCATGTAACACTGCACCCAAATGAAATTTATATACTTTTTTTCGCACAAATAGAGCTTTCTTTTGGTGGTATTTGATCATCACTGGGTTTTTTACTTTTTATTATATAAACAAAAAAAAACACCAACAAGTCTAAAAAAAAAACCCCACAGTATTTTTTACTGTCTGCTATAAAACATATTCAATAAAAAATCTTTTAAAAAAACATATTTCTTCAAAAACTTAGGCCAAAATGTATTCTGCTACATGTCTTAGCAAAATATACGTGTATATTGATTGATTTGCATGACAGTTATAGCGTCTACAAACTATGGTAAATATAGTGGAATTTGTATTTATTTTCTTTATACTACTAATGGCAATAATCAGTGACTTATAGTAGTACTGTGATAGTGCGGGAGGCAATCTGACACTAGGTGGGGACTGACTAACTGCCACTGACATCACCACTGACATTAATAGAGTGATCAGTGATAATACTACACACTGTCACTGTACTAATCACACTGGCTGGGAAGGGATTAACATCTCGGGTAATCAAGGGGTTAAATGTGTGCCTATCAATGTGTAATGTGTGTATTATGTGCTGTTTTTTTCACTAAATATCTGTTTTTTCTCCCTGCTTTGTAGAGAGAAACAGAGAGATTATTCTCTCTGTACAGTGCACTGTGTTGATTGTGTGATTGAACACCGCTGATCAGCAGGCCCCGGCTATGAATCATTGGCCAGAACCTGCTGACCAGCTCCGGCTGTGTACAATCACAGTGGTAGTGCGAGGTCGGGGACGCCCAGTACCCGGAAGGGGCCAGCTACATACGGGTACATCGCTGTGCCTGTATGGGCCATCTGTCCAGTACATTGCGGGTGGGGGGCGGTCCGCAGTCGAAGTGAAACGTATAATAATAGTTGGTGAACAGGCAGGCTATTTTTATACAGAAGAGACATACTAGGTTCCTTCTACATTAACCTCTTCCTGTCCGGCCCATGCCTATAAACGGCCAGACGGGAGCGCTGCCGATGTGGGTGGACATTTCTAAACACACAGCTTGGAAGAGAGCATACATTGTGTGCCCCCATAGCAAACAGCTTGCTATGGGGACACATGACGAAGAGAAGGAGCCAAGAGGAGGAGCGACCTGAGAAGAGGAGGAGCCAAAAAGACCTGAGAAGAGGAGGATCGGGGTCACTCTGTGCAATACTGTTTAGTATTTTAATTTAAAATAATAACCTTTTAGAAACACTTTAAGTTAAAATATGTCCCGGCATTTGTATCGCCCCCTCCCCCTTATACTTACTTGAGTCCTATCTTGATCCAGGGCTGTGCCCGTCTGCAGCAGTGCTGCTCTCTCTCTCCTCACAGGACACAGAGGCAGCAGAGGAAGCCAGTGGCTCCTGCTGCTGTCAATCAAATCATGTGAAGATGGAGCAGGGAGTGGGGTTGAGCGGTGCTGTGTGTGTCTATGGATGCACACAGCCCGACTCGGAAGTGACAGCAAGCAGCTTCTTCTGGGGGGCGCTGGGAGAATAGGGGGTGTAGCAGGGGTGGGGACCCCAGAAGAGGAGGATCAGGGCCGCTCTGTACAATATCACTGCTCAGATCCATTAAGTAGAACATGCTTATTATTGTAAAAAAAAAAAAACTTTACACCAGATAATAATGAATATCACCCAGCTGTACATTTGGACTGCAATGTTGGGCCTCCGCCGCCATTCTCTCAGAGACTTGGTGACAACATGCCTGACACCCCCCCCCCGAGGTGTCCAGATGTAAATGACATCGGAGGACATCAGGAAGGAGAAGAGTGCTTTACTGGTAAATGATGACAAACTCCCGCAGCCATAACACAATGACAGTGACCCTCCGGTGCTCAGCCTTACCTCTGTGTGTACACCGGACCCGCACCGCTCTCTCCGCACAGCGTCCCTAGGAGCGGCCGGTTGCTAAGGCTGTGCAGAGACCACCTGACAGCCCGGCAGCCAATAAACTACTTCCTCTCGGTACCTAGAAAATTGGGCGGTGGCATAACGTGATTGGCAGCAGCAGAAGCAATGGAGAGAGCGGGCAGGTTTACAGCTCCGCCCTCATGCGTCTCCATGGATGCAGCAGAGCTAGCAGGCCGGTCACGTGACGGAGAATCCGATAGAGATGCGCAAACCTGAGGGAGAGAAACACAGGAGCGTCACTGGAGGGGTATATGAAAGGGACATGGAGGGGTGTATGAGAGGGACGTGGAGGGGTGTATGAGAGGGACATGGAGGGGTGTATGAGAGGGACATGGAGGGGTATATGAAAGGGACATGGAGGGGTGTATGAGAGGGACGTGGAGGGGTGTATGAGAGGGACATGGAGGGGTGTATGAGAGGGACATGGAGGGGTGAATGAGAGGGACATGGAGGGGTGTATGAGAGGGACATGGAGGGGTGAATGAGAGGGACATGGAGGGGTGAATGAGAGGGACATGGAGGGATGTATGAGAGGGACATGGAGGGATGTATGAGAGGGACATGGAGGGGTGTATGAGGTGGACATGGAGGGGTGAATGAGAGGGACATGGAGGGGTGTATGAGAGGGATATTGAGGGGAACATGGAGGGGTGTATGAGAGGGATATGGAGGGGTGTATGACAGGGACATGGAGGGGTATAGGAGGACAGGGGGGGAGAAGGGTGTAGGAGAGGGACATGGAAGGGGGTATGAGGGGGACATGGAGGGGTATAGGAGAGGGATATGGAGGGGTATAGGAGAGGGACGAGGGGGGTATTGAGGGGGACATGGAGGGGGACGTGGGGGGGTGTAGGAGGGGGACATGGGGGGTTGTAGGAGGGGGGACATGGGGGGTTGTAGGAGGGGGACGCGAAGGGGTGTAGGAGGGGACATGGAGGGGTGTAGAGGGGGACATGGAGGGGTGTAGAGGGGGACATGGAGGGGTGTAGAGGGGGACATGGAGGGGTGTAGAGGGGGACATGGAGGGGTGTAGAGGGGGACATGGAGGGGTGTAGAGGGGGACATGGAGGGGTGTAGAGGGGGACATGGAGGGGTGTAGGAGGGGGACATGGAGGGGTGTAGGAGGGGGACATGGAGGGGTGTAGGAGGGGGACATGGAGGGGTGTAGGAGGGGGACAGGAGGGGTGTAGGAGGGGGACGCGAAGGGGTGTAGGAGGGGGACGCGAAGGGGTGTAGGAGGGGGACATGGAGGGGTGTAGAGGGGACATGGAGGGGTGTAGAGGGGGACATGGAGGGGTGTAGAGGGGGACATGGAGGGGTGTAGGAGGGGGACATGGAGGGGTGTAGGAGGGGGACATGGAGGGGTGTAGGAGGGGGACGCGAAGGGTGTAGGAGGGGGACATGGAGGGGTGTAGAGGGGGACATGGAGGGGTGTAGAGGGGGACATGGAGGGGTGTAGAGGGGGGACATGGAGGGGTGTAGAGGGGGACATGGAGGGGTGTAGAGGGGGACATGGAGGGGTGTAGAGGGGGACATGGAGGGGTGTAGAGGGGGACATGGAGGGGTGTAGAGGGGGACATGGAGGGGTGTAGGAGGGGGACATGGGGTGGGTGTAGGAGAGGGACATGGGGTGGGTTTAGGAGGGGGACATGGAAGGGTGTAGGAGAGGGACATAGGGGGGTGTAGGAGGGGGACATGGAGGAGTGGTGTTGGAGAGGGACATGGGGGGGTTGTAGGACGGGTAATGGATAATGGAGAGACATGGAGGGTAATAGAGAGTACAGGAGGGAGAACAGAGAGACGTACAGGGGAGAGAATGGAGAGACATACAGGGGGGAGAACAGAGAGACTTACAGGAGAGAGAACGGAGAGACGTACAGGGGGGAGAACTGAGAGATGTACAGGAGAGAGACCTGAGAGACGTACAGGGGAGAGAATGGAGAGACGTACAGGGGAGAGAATGGAGAGACGTACAGGGGAGAGAATGGAGAGACGTACAGGGGAGAGAATGGAGAGACGTACAGGGGAGAGAATGGAGAGACGTACAGGGGGGAGAACGGAGAGACGTACAGGGGAGAGAATGGAGAGACGTACAGGGGGAGAGAACGGAGAGACGTACAGGGGAGAGAACGGAAAGACGTACAGGGGAGAGAACAGAGATAGGTACAGGGGAGAGAACGGAAAGACGTACAGGGGATAGAACGGAGAGACGTACAGGGGATAGAACGGAGAGACGTACAGGGGATAGAACGGAGAGACGTACAGGGGATAGAACGGAGAGACGTACAGGGGATAGAACGGAGAGACGTACAGGGGAGAGAACGGAGAGACGTACAGGGGGATAGAACGGAGAGACGTACAGGGGATAGAACGGAGAGACGTACAGGGGATAGAACGGAGAGACGTACAGGGGGGAGAACGGAGAGACGTACAGGGGGGAGAACGGAGAGACGTACAGGGGGGAGAACGGAGAGACGTACAGGGGATAGAACGGAGAGACGTACAGGGGAGAGAACGGAGAGACGTACAGGGGGGAGAACGGAGAGACGT